ATTTGGTTATTCCAGCAGTCACTATAATAATCTTAAGTAATTATATTTACTGTAAAAACTTGTACGCATATATATATAAATAAAAATGTAAATGTTCATTTGTTCAAAATCTTAAATCTCCAAAAGTTCTTCACCCATTGCTTTGAAATTTTGAAACAATGTTGCATTTGAATACGTGCATTTTTATATTATGTAGATGTCGAAATTCCCCTCCGCGTGGAAGAGGGACAAAATTAAAGCTTACCGTGAAGAACTGGGATTCTATTACACTATTTTAGATGTAGTTTTTTGCGTTTTTGATTGCATTTTAATAGGGTATGTCGATATGTAGATGTCGAAATTCCCCTCCGCGTGGAAAAGGGACAAAATTAAAGCTTACCGTGAAGAACTGGGATTCTATTACACTATTTTAGATGTAGTTTTTTGCGTTTTTGATTGCATTTTAATAGGGTATGTCGATATGTAGATGTCGAAATTCCCCTCCGCGTGGAAAAGGGACAAAATTAAAGCTTACCGTGAAGAACTGGGATTCTATTACACTATTTTAGATGTAGTTTTTTGCGTTTTTGATTGCATTTTAATAGGGTATGTCGAGAGAATGAACACTAAGAAGGGATTTTTCGAAATCCCCCCTCACAGGGAGTATTATACATTTATAATAGATACATTTTGAGCCACAGCAATGTGTGGCTGGGTACAGCTAGTGTTAAATATATTTTAATACATTCTGTAAATCTTGCATAATTTTTTACCAATATATTTGATATAATAAGACTGAAGAGAGGCATTAAGCCCGAAATGCATATCCTGTTGTCAATAAACCTACTTTTTCCACTCAAAGTTTTCCTGTACGATTTGTTCTCAACAGCAACCTTGTGTTAATTCCAAAGGAAATACATGTAATTGGGAGAACAGCAAGCAATAAAGTTCTAAGATATTGTATCGAGTTTATAATTTTATATGCTATTCTACGATGATGAAAACACATGTTTAAATTAAAGCATTCTTTTAATCTATAATATTTATTGGACTCAATTTTGAGTTTGAAGTCGAACAAATTTATTAAACATGGTTTCAAAGACAACATAACTATAATATTTATTCTTTTGTTTTCTTCTTACATAAAATGTAAAATTACGAATAAATTATATTTTTCTTTCCCTTCTGACTTTTGGATAATATAACTTCAATTTTTAAAAAACAAGCCAATAATGACTATAAAGTTTTAAAAAAAGAGTTTAAAAAGGTATAAAAAAGAAAATAATTTGCAGAGAAAAAACTTTTATTTACATTATTACTAACAAGCTTCCCAAATGCATTTTGCCTACGGTCTCTTCAGTGGGGCTTACATCACAAAATCTACGTTCTAACAGTCAACTCATTGAAGAGCCACTTATATGGTTAACAAAAATTCCCAGCATTCCGCTGTTAACATTCCGGTATTTAAATTAACATTATTGTTCTGCATAATTATAGCGAAGTGTTCTTTTACCTTTCGCTTTACATTATTTTTTTCCCTAAAAATTATTTTTAATTTATTAATATTTATCTGACTATTATTACTATTACAATGTTGGAAGACAGGAGAATTACTCATTTTCAACCTTACGGCAGCCAAATGTTCCGACAGTCTGATCTTTAATCTTCGTTTTGTTTCACCGACGTAATCTTCAGATATCATCTACGAGAAGAAACCACTTTAAAAACACTTCAACTGAGGAAATCCATCAGAAAAGATATTTGTAGAGAAGATGTGTGGAAGATAGAGAGATTAATTTTGAAATCAGTCATTAGAAAGAAAGGTAAATCTATTGGATTTATATCAAAGCAAATTAAGTCTCTTAAAAAAGATTTAAATCAAAATTTAATTTTAGATTCTTATAAAAATAAAAATTATATAAAAAATAAAAATACTAAATTGTTTAAATTATTTGGTTATCCATTACAAGAAGAAAGTGTTGAATGGCAGAAAAATCTGATCCTTAACTTATCATCGAAAGAAATACCAGAGGATTATATGCGGTTCTTATCATACGGAGCTGGTATGAATTTTCCTTTTTCTAGTGGAATAATAAATACTATTGCAGATATTGAAGATGCAATTTTTCACTGTAACCTTCAAAAAGAAGAAAAAGACGAAATTAGAATTAAAATTTGTGAAGATTTAAAAAACTTGAAATCAAGAAAGGGCGCATTCAGGATCAAAGAGCAAGACATTATATAGGTAAATACAATAGAATTAATAAATTTATGAAAAAACATCATTTGTCTTTATTAAAAGCAGATAAATCAAATCAAATAGTGATTATGGATTTATATGAATTAGAGAATAGAAACAAAAAATAATATCTGAAGGAAGTTTTAAAAAATTGGAAAAAGATCCGTTTAATGAAATACAAAGAACATGAACAAGAAAATTGAAGAAATTTGTAAAAAAAAGGTTATATCCAGGCGAATCAAAGTAAAGAAATACTCTCAAAGAAAAACGTAAGAATTCCTAAATTAACTGTCAGAATTAAAACACACAAACAAAATAAATGTAGACCAATCATAGACTTTAGATTCACATTATTATATAATCTAGAAATATTTATTAAAAAGATATTACAGGATATACAAATTTCAAAATATGCAGTTAAAAATACTGATGATTTAATTACAAAATTGCAAAAAGGTGTAATCTTGCCTAATTATAAATTGATGAGTTTGGATATAGCATCTATGTACCCTTCTATTACTAAAGATATGATTTTGAGTAGTCTACGTAAGTATGGTGTCCCTGATTATTTAAAGGATTTAATTATTTTCACATTAGATAATAATTATTTTACAATGAAGGAAAAGAATTTTTATCGACAAACAAAAGGTATTTCGATGGGTTCCGTAACAGGACCAAAACTAGCAGAAATTTATATGCTGGATGTGGACATGATTTTATCAACGGGTCTGGCTCTCAACTCTCAGCTGGAGTCTAAAATCATGATTTTATCACCGTTAAATGGAGTTATGTTTTTTGCAAGGTACGATGATGATATTTTGATAGTGTACGATAGTATAGTAACAACAAACTTACAAATTTTGGAACAAGCTAATAAAATTAATTTGAATATTAAATTTACTCAAGAGCATGAATTAAATAATCAATTAAGTTATTTAGATATAACAATTAAAAGATTTGAAGATCATTTGGAATACTGTAAATTTGAAAAACCGTGTAATACGAGAAAAGTAATTAATTATAGATCATACTGTCCTTTAAATCAAAAATATAATGTATACCTGATGGAAATAACAAAGATTTTTTCTAGAACAACAAATATAGATAAAAGAAAAGAAGAAATTGAAGATACACATAAGAAATACATCTTAAATGGATATCCAAAAAGATTACTAAATGATTGGTTCCACAGATTTTTAAGAAACAGGTTTAAAGTTAAACGTTGTCAAGAAATAATAAAGTATGTATCATTTCCGTATATAAAAGGTATTTATGAAAAATATAATAACTTCTTTAATCATAAATTAATTAGATTGGCTCCATCCTTAAATAACAGGTTATCAAATATGATGATCATCAGAAATAATGCTAAAGATATATTAGAAGAAGAAGGTGTTGTTTATCGGATAGAATGCACGTGTAACAATCCTAGTTTTTACGTCGGTGAAACAAAACGAAGATTAAGGATCAGACTGTCGGAACATTTGGCTGCCGTAAGGTTGAAAATGAGTAATTCTCCTGTCTTCCAACATTGTAATAGTAATAATAGTCAGATAAATATTAATAAATTAAAAATAATTTTTAGGGAAAAAAATAATGTAAAGCGAAAGGTAAAAGAACACTTCGCTATAATTATGCAGAACAATAATGTTAATTTAAATACCGGAATGTTAACAGCGGAATGCTGGGAATTTTTGTTAACCATATAAGTGGCTCTTCAATGAGTTGACTGTTAGAACGTAGATTTTGTGCTGTAAGCCCCACTGAAGAGACCGTAGGCAAAATGCATTTGGGAAGCTTGTTAGTAATAATGTAAATAAAAGTTTTTTCTCTGCAAATTATTTTCTTTTTTATACCTTTTTAAACTCTTTTTTTAAAACTTTATAGTCATTATTGGCTTGTTTTTTAAAAATTGAAGTTATATTATCCAAAAGTCAGAAGGGAAAGAAAAATATAATTTATTCGTAATTTTACATTTTACGTAAGAAGAAAACAAAAGAAAAAATTTCTGACTCCATTAAATTTTTATAACCTTTTTTTGGAATATAATATTTATGTTAACTTATCAGTTTAGTATTGCATGGCAAATTGTATGGTAGGTCTACTTAGGTGTATGATTTAATTTGAATTTTTCAAACTATGTAGTAATAATTATTAATCAGTTCATAAATTACAGATTTATTTTGTGCAGGGAAAATTTTGGGTCCCAAAGACATTCCGCACGCCGTTTTGTAAGTTGCACCATAACGCATTACTTCTTGCCACCCGCAGACGGCCGCACTCGATTTACCTTATTGCAAACAAAAAATCGAGTCGGCCATGAAGGCGAATTCCCGGACTTTCTGAATTTTTTGACAATTTTCGAACGCCACTTCTCCGCTCTCGGAGCAGTCTGGCTCCGTCTCCCCTCTTGGACGCGGCGACGGATCCGAACGTCGAACGTCTCTCGCCGCCCGGCGCAAGACAAGAGACGATCCAGAGACGGGGCAAAGACAACCCGTACCATCGGCCACGTCCGCGCACGCGGTCTCGACCCCAAATTTTTTACCAAAACGGGGGCACGGCCCACGCCAGAGATTACCGTCTGGCAAACCACTGCCGCCCGCCACGGAGGCATCTTCCTCGGACGGGGTAGAACCCGGACGAAATTCACGCAACAGAGAATGACGGGCAAAGGATTTCCCGGGAGGTGGGAAGCATTAAAAACGGGGGAATATTCGGTAAGGGAGCGGGGAAAAGAGAACAGCGCACGTTAGGCACGGGCGATTAAAAAGCGGCTTACCTGTAAACGGGACTCTTCTGATTCATTTTCGCGTCAGGTAAAGTAGAAGCAAAGGAGTCGGGAACGAGCGAACAGACTGCAAGAAAGAAATTAAAAAGCGTTAGTCGCGGTCAGAGCAAATAATTCGTTCTTCGGCCTTGACACAAATTGGCGCTTGGACGTTTCGCACTTAAACGTTTGGCTGCAGCCTCCGTTTTCCTTCCAATAAATTTGACGTCCGGAGCACGCGCCCACACTTTGTTTACATCCGTCGTTACCGTCGGATCAAACACCACTCGCCATTGGTCGGCTGCCAAACGGACGAATGGCGCGGCCCGACGCCATTTAATAGACTGATCTACCGACTTACCCAGGAAGACGGCGAAAGGACGACGGACGTCCGAGGCGAAAGTTATTCCGGCAAATCCGCTGGAGACTCGGACGCGTCGAACGCCCGGACCGGATTTTTCGCTCCACCTGGCGGACGAAATCCTCGATGCCGACGAGGTGGCCGACCTTTTTCCCCGGAGACGTCGGTGGAAATCTTAAGAAGTTCGGGCGACGGTTTCTAAAACAAAAGAAACCGAGCGGAAAAAGTAAGAGGAAAGAGACGAAAGAATGGAAACGAGGTGGTGGGATTCGGTCGGCCGCCGAACGCTACAGGTAGCGCTCACTTTGTCATTTACGTCCAAGTTGACCGCTTTTTAACAATTCCCGACTTTTGCAGAGATTAAGTTTTTGTCAATAATGTGTATAAACTTAAGTCTTATGTTTAAGATTTGTAAATGTTAAATTCTATTCCGCTTTCATTTGCAAATCGCTTCAATTTTACCAAAGAATCGACGCGACATTTAGGATTTTCGTGTCTTTTGCTAGCTTTAGTCAAATTATTTAAATGGTCAAAGCCATTCTTATTCCACACATTTATTTTATTTGAAAATAGTAAGGCAAGGCCAGAGTCGGTAGATTAACTGGTCTTTCGACTAATAGTTCAAACTTAGCTAGAGACAATATTTGCCGCTAGTCGGCGCCACTGTTAGCAGGAGATCGTTGTTCTTGCTAGGTATATACTGAAGTCAGTGATTTTGACCTATAATAATTGTTTTTTTAGNTTCTTGTTTATCTGGCAGATTATTTTCCGACAATACTTCGCTAACCTTTTACATTATTCTTTTTAACAATTATCGGGATGCTTTATTCTTTTAAGGTTTAGCGATTCCTAACTGGGTTGTGGGGTCTTCCCCCCCCCCTTTTTCTCGGTGCGGACTTACTTTTATCCGCTTGGGAAGCGCAAGTGTGCGCGAGTTTTTCTACGGCGCTTTTCTTTCGTCGGTGAGTTGGTTTTTCTTCTATTTTTAAGTTACTAAAGGTGAATGGTGAGGAAACCCTCGTCTTAACTAAACATAAGCCCCAAACAAAATATAATGAAAGCAAAATAAAAGTAAAATAAAAATAAAGTTCAGACTTGGTTCCTTACAGTACTACACATAGTAAGGAATAGCATCATGGTAAAAATGTGGTTTTTTTAAATAAAAATGGATATAATTTGCTATGCATGCTAGCTCTTCATTTTTTGAACTGCTTCAGTCTACATAACTGATTGAAATTTATATTCTTGTCAATAACAGCATTAAAAATGGTTTGATATGATTACTTTAAGGTTATATTAGTTTTAAATGTTATATTATTTATTTAATTAAATGGTTAGATCATGATCTGTTTTCTTATGATCATTATAAGCAGATATTATGTAACAAACAATGAGTTTTTGTTTCCATGTGCAAATTTTTGCAATAAAATGTTACACACAATTAAAATTTGAAAGGTACATTTTATAGATGTACCAAAGGGAATAGAAGAAATCATGAAATAATAAATACTGTGAATAAAATACAAAGTTAATCTTTTTTTATTAACACTGTTTATATCAATTTTATTACTTTAGTAGTAAACTTGATGAACTGGCAATAATTTTTACATGTTTTATACTTTTCTCTTATGTTTCAGAGGGATGGATAATAAACTGAAAGTGCATCTTTCTAATAAAATCACTGTTTAGTTGGTGTAATTTTTTTATATATTGCATAAAATGCCTAATGAGCTTCATTGTAAGCCTCACTCTGTTCATTTTATATTGTTATAGAATTTTAAAGTAGATTAAGTATTTAGTTATTCAATTGTAGAGTTGAATGAATCTCTTATTACTCTACTTTAAATAAAGATAGATACTATGTATTCAAATGATAATCACTAAATCAGGAATTTCAGTAAATAAAATTATTTTGGATGTTATGACATTAATTTACACAAAAGTGACTCTAAAATAATAAACAAATTTATAATCAAAGATATTCAAATAAATTTCATAAAATTTATATTATATTTCAGAGGAGATGGATGAAATGAAAAAAGTTGACTTTTACAGACACTGTTTAAATCAAAGGATGAAGAGGATAAAATTTTGTCGGAATTAATGTCTCTTCAGTACATTTGTTGTATTAAATCGATTTATTATTGCTTATTCTGAAATTGTGTCATTTTTTTTTTCTTTTGTCACAACTAGGTGCATAGACAGACACTGGGCGTTTTTGACATCGATCTTTATTTGGGAATATATTGTGGGCCGAGACGCGTTTCGGGCATATGTCCTCCTCCTGCCAGCTACATAATAAATGTGAAGACCCAACCGAGGTCCGAATCATGTAAATCGCGATATTCCTATGATTAAATAATAATGATAGATTAAAAATGAGAGGGGGAGGAAAATCCCTTAATCTAAACAACGCGGCACAAAATGTAGACAACGAGTCTCGGATGACTCGAACACGTGTTAAACGAACTGTCGATGTCAGAGTGAAAAGTTATAAATCAGAGACAAGTGGTCATATGCGGGTAGAACTTTGACCCCCGCGCTCATAAACAGTCAATCTAGGGAAACAATTTCTGAAAAGAGGGAAAGATTTAAGAGAGATAAATCATTGCATATGATCGTTCGAGTACCCAGATGACAGAAATCGCGAGTAACGGAGTTGAATTATGAGCGCGAGTCTTGCAATTTTGTCAACAATCGACAGAACGGCGTCGAGCAGACACCTGGAATCGGACCTTTCCCGTGACCTGAGGTGGTCTCGATTTTCCCCAAAACAAAAGAGAGACCAAGCGAGAAAGGGGACGAGGGGCCAATCAGAAGTCCGAATAGTGGGAGGAAAAACTATAAAAATCGGAAAATCAAGGTCAAGGGGGCTCTCCTCCGACTCCACGAAAGGTAAATGACTTCTATTGTGGTGTGTCGTCGCAAAAGAACTGTGGATTCCGTGGCTTCTATCTTCCGATCGTCCACCTAGATCAGCGACAGCATCTCGTCCGCCCCGGGGCTACGACCGACGCCGAAGTTCTCACTTCTCCGCATCTTCAAGAGAAGAATCTAGTGAAGGACTGTTGATTGCCTATGTAAGCATATATGTTAACAAATAAACGGCTTTCTTGTGTAAAACACTTGTTGTCATTTGCCTCCTCCGTCACCGCCCACATACAATTTTCCCTTAGGTCCATCCTGACGCGGGATTAATAGATCCCACCTAGGAGACGGCAACCTTACACAGGTGCCGTGAAGTGGGTTTCAAGCCCCCTATCTCCCCCGAGTCGGCCATCTTACTTAAAGCACGAATGTGAATTTTTCAAATTACAAAATGTTTCATATTATGATAGGTTACAACATAACACCACCTTACAGGATATGTAAAAAAATTGTAACTAGTATACATCTTGTTTAAAATTACTTATATTTATGGTTTAAAATTTTTACAGTTAAAATTTCCTGCATTTTCACTGAGCTGCACTTACATCTCTCTTGTGATGTTCGTGTTTACAAGGTTATTCTTAATCTCTTTGCCATGATAAAAGAAAACTTTCTTAAAACATTTATACAATAAAATAATCTTTCTATTATTATTATTGTTGTGTTTAGTGGGTTATACTCGGTACACACCAGTGGCTGTGTACTATTCCGGACCAGAGTCAAGGCATAGCAACAAAAACTAAAATTAAATAAGTGTCAGTGTCAGTATTCAGGAATTTCATTACAATATTACGTGTATTCAATATTGTGACCTTCTGTAGTATGGTGTATGTATTTCTATTCAATTGTAATGTTTCCAGGCTTTTGTGTAGTGTGTGTGGTATCACACCTGTACAGGAGAGAACAACAGGTACAATAAGCACCCTTTCCATCCTCCACAGGTGCCTTATTTCCTGTGTGAGTTCTGTGTACTTGCTAATTTTTTCAGTGCATTTGTTTTGTACATTGTGAGTGTTTGAAATGGCTATGTCTATAATGTATGTGATTTTATTGTGTTTGTCAATGAGTGTGATGTCTGGTCTGTTGTGGTAAATTGTTTTATCTGTGATTATGGCTCTGTCGTAGTACATTTTGTGCGTGTTGTTTTCCAATACTGTGTGTGGAATATACTTGTAGTATGGTTCGTGGATGTCTACCAATTTGTGTTTCTTTGCAAGCTCTTGTTGTATTATATTTGCTACTTGATTGTGTCTATGTAAGTAATCTGTCTGTGCCAAGAGCTTGCAACCAGAAGTGATGTGTTGTATAGTTTCTGGCATGAGGATAACATTTAATCTACTTTGGTATTCTTTAATTAATCTTTGCTTTATTTGTGTATGTTCTGTTAGTTTGGCCTGTTGGAACCCTAAATACTTGTAGACCTCACCCTCTTCCATAGATTTAATAACGTCTCCATTTCCAATCTTTTTTCTTCAGGATTCCTTTTTCTATGTGAAATGTTTTGCATTTGTTTTGGCCAAACTCCATTAGTATGTCCTTGGTGTATGAATGTGTGATTTGTAGGAGTTGATGAAGTTGTTTGTGTGGATGCATAAAGTTTTATGTCGTCCATGTACATCAGATGTGACAGTGTAAATTGTGTTGTTTTTTCATGTCTGATATTGTAATCATGTTGCGTGTTGTTTAGCATGTTGGATAATGGGTTCAGGGCTAGGCAGAACCAGAGAGGACTCAAGGAATCTCCTTGAAAAATTCCTCGCCTAATGAATATTTCCTTTGTATGGAAGTGTTACTAACCCTGAGATGTAGTGTTGTTCTCCAGTGCTGCATAGTGTTTTGGAAGAATGCAATGAGTGATGATGTACTTTGTACATGTGTAGAATATGTAGCAGCCAACTGTGTGGAACACTGTCAAATGCTTTTCTGTAGTCTATATATGCGATGTGTATGTTTCTGTGTTGTTTGTATGCTTGCCGTAAAATGACTGAATCTATGAGTAACTGTTCTTTGCATCCCCTGTGATTTCTATATCAAATTTTTTGTTCCAAAACTATTATAAAAATGATGGAGTCAGACTGTTTCTATTCTTCTTACGTAATTGTAAAATACACGAAAAAATAATTTGTCTTTTCTCTTCTGACTTATGGATATTTTATAACTTCAAAGAAATTTTTTTACAACATTAATCTTTTTTATTCGTTGTTGAAACAAAGTTAAAAAAAAGGTAAAAAAAGAGATGAACTTGCAAAGAGAACCTTTATTTGCCTTAATTAATAAACTTCCTAAATGCGTTTCACCTTCAAATGTTTGGCATGTGTAGAAGCACTTTTGGAGTTTTTGAATAGAGTAAACCCAATGTTAGCACAGCACGGTAATGAGGTTGCAGAGATGGTTAATCTAGTATGTTGCGAATCCTTTTTCGTTTTTGAAGGCCAAACATATAAACAAAATAGAGGGGTCCCAATGGGAAGCCCAATTTCAGGGCTCCTATGCGAGCTTGTCGTTAGAAAACTAGAAAGAAAAATACTGAGTAGCTTTGAAAGAAATATTGTATACTACAAGAGATATGTAGATGATGTATTCATTTTATGGAAAAACAATCGAGCAATTACTGAATTCGTAGATAGAGTTAACGATAACGAAGAAGGCCTTAGG